TTTTTTTGGCCGAGTAACGGGACTCGTGGGTCACCCGGCCCATGGACACCTCTAAGTATCATTTCATCTATTCTATGTCTCTTTTTCGAAGTGGGAACCCGGTGGTATCGATATCAAAAATTATAATTTTGTAAAATTAATTTATAAGTTATAACTTTAAAAATTTGATCAATTATAAAATATTTGGATTGATATCGAGATTTTTATGATTGATCATAGGATTTGTGATTGATTATGATATTTTTTTGAATAGTTTTAATTTCTCATTTTAAAGTTATAATTTTACCATAAAAAATATTAGTTTTGTACAGTGGATAATTCAAAGATATGAAAAATAATAAAAATTAGGCGCAAAAATATAACGTGATTCGATACAATATACCCTATCAATACGACATATTTATATTCACGGACCAATTACTTACATCAATGTATTATTCATTGAAAAATTGATAATCTAATAATTGATTATATAATACTCAATCTTATTTATAAGGATAAAATATTACAACCTAATACAATTTGGATATTGTTAAATCTCTATATTTTCTATTAAGTCACTAATAAACTTATCCATAATTTATTAAAACTCTTTCAATACATTTTCTATTCCATTTGGTATTCTCACGATTACAAAACAAACTTCTTTATGATAATTAGAGAGTTTGGTTCAACTTCTAACAAAGAGTAACAAGTTATACATGTACCAAATTTTTTTTTTTGGGTGCCATAGAGATTTCCTTTCAAAGTTGTCTATTGTATCAGAAAAAAAAATTGTATCATACCTCTATTTATCACATTTTTAGATATTTAAATCATTGTTGTGGGTATTTTTATCACTGTTGTGATACCGAAATTCACGAAAGTGATTATTTTTTTTGTATCGAAGAAAAGTGACAAAAATAGTTATCACAACGGTGTTAAAAATACTCATAATAGTAGTAAAAATACACACAAAAGTGAGAAGTCCTCTTCTTCTCAGCCTACGCAATTCACCGAATAATTAATGATGTTGGCTTGATGGCAATTGCCTGGACTGAGAAGAAAGATGTTGAACAAGCTTATCAATGGTGAAAGATAGATAGATGTTGCTTGCTAAGCTTCAAGGTTAGTCACTTTACACTACAGAAAGATCTTCCTAATTCAGTTCATTGTTAGTCCAATTTGTCTCCACCTGTAGGGACCGCTCTAGCGAACGCATGGCTTTGTTAGAGATTATTGATTTCGTTATCAAAATTGGGGAGTTGTTGTGGGTTCCAGTTAAGCGTGAAGTCGGTTATTTGGTTAAAAAAATAAAGAACATTGAGTCTCTTAATGATCAAGTCGAAAACCTTAAGATTGTTATAGATGACAAAAAAGTGTAGGTCGATGAAGCCAAAATTAATGGAGAAGAAATCAAAGGTGAGGTTCAAAAATGGCTGAAAGATTGTGCTGACATGATGATGAATGTAGAAAGACTGAACGAGGAAGCCAAGGTTGATAAGAAGTGCTTTAGTGGGTGGTGTCCTGATCTAATATCACGTTACAAGGTGAGCAAGCAAGTACTGAATAATACAGAAACTATTGGTAAGCTCGAGGGTGCAGGAAGAAGTTTCAATGTGGTTTCTCTCGGTGTATGACGGCCAATACAAATTGAATCTACGCAATCCAGTGGAGATTTCAATCTATTTGAAGCAACAAAGCGGGCGATGAATGAAGTCATGGAAGCATTGAAAGCTGACAAAGTCCAGATAGTGGGGGTTTATGGGATGGGAGGTGTGGGGAAAACCACCCTGGTGAAACAAGTGGGTGTTAAAGCCCATCAGGATGGGCTATTTGATCTTGCAATAATGGCTGTGGTGTCCCAAAACCCAATTTAAGAAGAATACAGGGCGAACTTGTAGATAAGTTGGCCTTAATACTAGATGCAGAGAGTGAATCTGCAAGAGCAGGTATGTTGAAGGAGAGGATAATGAGAGGAAGTAAAATCCTGATAATCCTGGATGACATTTGGAAGAGGATAGAGTTATCCGACATAGGAATTCCAAGTGGCAGGGAACTTGAGGCTTGCAAATCCAAAGTCTTACTCTCTACAAGACTTGAAAATGTCTGCTTTTCAATGGAAAGCCAAGCAAAGATCCCTCTAAACGTTCTATCGGATGAGGATTCGTGGATCTTGTTTAGAAGTAAAGCAGGAGTGGTTGACTCCCCTGATTTCCAAGTTGTAGCGAGGAAGATCAATAAAGAATGTGGAGGACTCCCGATTGCACTTGTAACGGTGGCAAGGGCTCTGGGGGACAAAGACCAGGAAGAATGGGAAGAAGCTGCTAACCAACTCGAAAGGTCTAGGCCTGTAAACTTTGATGATGATGGTGGAGTATTTAGATGTATAAAGTTCAGCTACGATTATTTAAGAGATGACGATGCCAAGTCATGCTTATTGATTTGTTGCCTTTTTCCGGAAGATTCTAACATTAGCCTGGAAGATTTGGTGAAGTATGGGATAGGCGAGGGTTGTGTCAAGATGCCCACACAATGGAAATAAAAAGAGCCAGAGCACGATCGGTGGCCAAATACCTCAAAGCTTCCGGTTTATTGTTAGAAAGTGATCAACGGATGGGTAAAGATGCATGATGTTGTCCGGGATGTGGGCTTGCGAATTGCAGCATCCAAGGATGGGCAAGCTATTATGGTCGAGGCTGGTATGCGTTTAAAGGAGTGGCCAAGGAAGGATGCCTATGAAGATTACACAGCAATCTCGCTAATGTCAAATGAAATAGTGGAGCTACCTGATGGGCTAGTATGCCCAAAACTGCTACTGCTATTACTGCAAAATAATACTGACATACACGAGATTCCTGATAACTTCTTTAAGGAGTTTAAATCACTTAGAGTGTTGGACTTCAGTGGTCTTGATATGATATCTCTGCCAGTGTCACTTGGACTCCTATCTAACCTTCGGACACTATGTCTAAATCGTTGTCAGTCAATAACAGAAGTCAATAACAGAGATGTCCATAATTGGAGAACTGAAGAAACCCGAGATACTCAGTTTCAGAAAAACTTGCATTGAGGAGTTGCCAGGAGAAATAGGAGAACTAGTCAATCTCAAGGTGTTGGATTTCAGCTTGAGTAGCTATATTATAAGGATTCCACCCAAATTGATATCAAGCCTATCACGGTTAGAAGAACTATATATGCAAGCTAGTTTTGGAGATTGGGGGCAGGTGGTCGAAGGAACAGAAGGTTGATTTAATGCTGGTTTTGATGAGCTAACATGCTTACCTAACCTTTCCATTTTAAAAGTTGACATAGCGGATGTTGATTGTCTGCCTAGGAATGTTATCTTTGAGCCAAAATGAGTAGAATTTGATATATGCTTCAGCAGAGAGTTGTTCACCAGAATGTTGAATGTAAACTTATCGAAAGGTGGAGTAGTCCATTCAACAGGCTTGGTCCTTGATATAACCATCAACAACTTGCCCGATTGGTTTAACAAAGTGGTGACTGAGAAAGCTGAGAAACTACTTTACATAGCATGCAAGGGATTAGATAACATTCTTTCAGAATATGATCAAGGAAGGTTAACTGGCCTCAAGTTTCTACTAATCCAAACCTGCTATAGGATACAGTATCTCATGAATTCGTCCAATTGTGATTCAAACCAACCACCTGTGTTTGAGAACCTGGAGGAGTAAGCTGAGGTTATTGGAAGTGGAACAATGTACTGACTTGGTGGATGGACTGCTGCCATCTAATTTGTTGCAAAGACTACAAAATCTGGAAGTGATACGTTTAAATTCCAATTCATTAGAAGATGTATTTCTATCTGAAGGGCTAGAAGAAGGACAAATTGTCTTGCAAAACATAAAAAAACTAAAATTGGAGATGCTGCCTCAACTCACAAAAATTTGGAATGGCCCTACTCACCTTGCAATCTTTCACAACCTCCAAATCTTGACAGTGTTCAAATGCAAGAAATTGAGAAATCTATTCGAGTGGCATGTGGCAATGTTCTCCCGAAACTAGAAGACGTCTGGGTAGAAGATTGATCTGCATTGGAGGGAACAATTGGAATGGCCGGTGATATTGAAGCCGACAAAATAATTTTCCCAAAACTGAAGAACTTGTTTCTGAAAAATCTTCCATGCCTCTCAAGTTTCTACCCTGGGTATGCTGGTATTGATTGCCCTTCCTTGGAACATCTGCATCTGCATGATTGCCCAAAGTGTAGGACTAGTGTTTCCAACTTCAATAGCAGCAAGACTATTCAAGTTAACAATGAGCAGCGGTCATTCTTCCTAGGAAAAAGGTATGTCTTTGTGAGTATTAATTCATGCCATCTTTTAGATGTATTTGTATGCAAATTGGTAGTTAATTAGAAAGATGGATCCTTCAACATTGACCACTATGTCTCAATCCTACGACCACAATTGGCAGAACTACTACCATTGAGTCAATTATTTTCATGGACAGTACACGAATGAACCAATTGTGGTTGTAGGATATGCAATCAAAATACTAAGCCATGATGTAAAGGAACTAACATCTGTATCTTATACAACTTATAAAAGTATCTTAAGATTTTCGAAACTGACACTTTGTTCCACTCCTTTCATTTGATGTACAACTTTTAATTTACTCTTTTATCATTATACCAAACTATAAAGGCCATTTTGTCCTTTATTCAATTACCTAATACCATTACCTTCTTTTATATTTAAATTTCCAAATTATCTTCTAACATTTCCTTTAGTTTTATTTATACTCTACATTTATATTCTCCTCTCTTTTTTGCATTTATTTTTTGAATGTTAATCTTAATCTCATGTATTAGCAGGCTTCAATTTAACAATTTTTTTTTCTTGCAACTCTTATAAGTTTTGAATTTATCCAAACTTATCTAAAAAAAAATAAAAAAAAATTTATCCAAACACCCATTTAGATAGAGACATTAGCTAGGAATATAATCACTCTTATATTTGTTTCCTCACATATCTGGTGAATGTTTATTTGCTTTTATGTTTTTGGTTTATTATCATTCAAAGGAAAATCATGCTCAATTCACTGTGAAAGGGTGTGTGAGTCTCTCAACACTCTGGCCAGTTCTAACACACACTTAAACCACTGTCAATCCATTTTTTTCTCCATGTGTTTTCTCTTCTAGCTCTTTCTCGTTCGGTGATGTTAATGTGTAAATTAATCTCGGCCTAGAGATCTAGTTGACGTTTGGAAGGAGTACATTGATATCCTTGAAAGAGAGAACGTGGCCATCTTGACCTATAGAAGGAAGGACTTTTTATACTTCTGCCACTTGAGTAAGGAAATGTAAGGCTTTCAAAAGTGTCTTGGACATATGAAACCAGGACGATAGAATTGAAAGTGGAGGAGAAAGAGGGTGAAGAATGTGTTGAGATACCCATTGTCATTTAATGAGCGAAGTTGCCGAAGCGAGTCTAAAGGCCAAATAGTGATATGTGTAAATTTCATGCTCTACGCGCTTGATTATTTTTGTTATTTTTATAATAAATTTCTTTTAATATTGTATTTTTTAGAACTTTTTGCACTTTGTTAAAATAAAGAGGTCCTAGGTATCTACCTATGATGCACTGCTTCCGAAATACACGGATTGGTTACAGTCCCTCCTGTGATACTCCAACCGCCCCATGTTTTACCATCTTGAATGCCTTACCCACAAGATAGATAAATAATAAATTGTGCTTGATATTAGCACCTCTTTTGCTTCTAGTAGTTTTTGTTGATTGTTGATAATTCATGGATGCTATTTGTGTGAGTTACAGGCTTTTTGAAGGAACGTTTCATACAACTGTTGACAAATCTTTGCACTAGTGGGTGTGCTGATGACTGATGTTTGAGCTCCCTGTTATGTATCCGCTTCGATGGAAACTCAAAAACACAAAAAGTTGGTAGCAGCACTTGCCAAGTCCATGTTTGTGCATTTTCTTTCATATTTTTTTTTTTTTTGTTTTTTTGGTGAAATGTGTTTGTTTTGGACATTGAGATTGAAATCTGCTATAGTGTGTTAAGTGTTGGCCATCGACATTGCATTAATGATGTGTGTATCAAATGACTTCTTTTTTTTTCTTTAACTTAGTACCTCCCTAAGGTATGGCCACGTTGGATCCATCCCTATATAGATGGGTACTGTACTTTGAATTATGTATCAAATAACATTTATTTTGTATACTGCACTTTCAATAGAAGTTTTTTTAATATATCATTTTCAACCATGTTATAGATGTTAGTTCGTATACTGCACAATTAATCTTGTTTGATTGATTGTGGTTTTAGGTATTACACTTTGAAGTGTGTGGTATACGAGCTAACATCTATAACATTGTTGAATTAACATCTATAAGCAAAGACTATTCCTAAAATGCATGAATTAAGGTAAGGACAATTATGTAATATAAAAATATAATGACTTAAAGACTGAAAAATTTAAGCTATGTATTTTAAGATAAATAGGTTATCTAAAATTTACCAAAAAAATTTATCAAAAATTTGAGATAGGCCAGGGGTGAATTCATAATCTATTACTAAAATATTATCATTTTAAAACAAAAATATTGATCTACTGTACTTTTAAATTTATTTACTAAATTAATGTAGTTTTTGAAAGCGAAATCAACAAGAATAATTTCAATACTTACAAAAATGCTTTTTTTCTCTTTTTGTTGTATCACTTGTTAAAAGTGAAATTGTGTTGAAAGCGGAATCAATAATTATACTTTAAAAAGCTATAATAGATCAGCAAATAAATTTAAAAGTACGATAATTCAGTATTTTTGTAGAGAAATCAATAAGAATAATTTTAATACTTACAAAAATGTTTTTTTTTTTTTATCACTTGTTAAAAGCAGAATTGTGTTGAAAGTGAAATCAACAATTTTACTTAAAAAAATTGTAATAGATTAATAAATAAATTTAAAAGTATGATAATTCAATATTTTTATTTGAAAATGTCAGTATTTTGGTATTTTGATAATACATCATGTGAATCCGCCCAAGGTAACACTGACATTGATAGTCACATTGGACTGAGCTTCCAATTTTCATTTCTTAGTTCAAAGGAGAATCCAGGAGTGAAGAGCCCAACGGCCATGGAGATTGATGCTATGTTCTCACATTACTTGGTCGCATGGTTCAAGATTGCAGTCGCACCAAACAGAATTTCGATTCAAACAAACATGGTAACATAATGTTTCTCCCTCCGTTACTGCCACCAAAACCTTCCATTAACCGCAAATCTATAACTCCATCTCTTGCTCTCTTCTTCACACTTCCAGACCCACCTCAACCAAACCAACGCCCACAACCTGCACTCGAAGAACACCGCCAAAATGAGAGCATATCCAACAGGTGCTACTGGACCAAAAAGATCCACAAGCTCTGTGTCATCGACCGCAACGTCGACCAGGCCCTTAACCTTCTTGACCATCTTCGTCTTCGCGGTTACCGCCCCGACTACCTCAACATCGGCAGCATAATTCACGCACTGTGCGACGCCCACCGTTTCTCCGAAGCTCACAATCGTTTTGTTCTCTCTCTTACTTCGAATTGCATACCCGATGAGCGAACATGCAACGTACTCATCGCTCGGTTACTGGATGCAAGAACCCCATTTGGTACATTGCATGTTATTCATTGTTTGATCAAAGAAAAGCCCGAGTTTGTGACTTCTTTGATGAATTATAACCGTTTGATTGATCAAATGTGCTGGTTCTCGAAGCTCATTGAAGCTCACGGGTTGTTTTTTGATATGAAAACTAGGGGACATAGTCCAAACACAGTTTCATACACTACTCTCATCAATGGGTACTGTAAAGTTGGTGAAGTGGGTACTGCTCAGAAGTTGCTTGATGAAATGTCTGAATGTGGAGTGAGACCGAATTCACTTACATACAGTGTTTTCATTCGTGGGATTCTTCGAAAACACGACGTTGAACATGGAAAAAAGCTAATAAGTAAGCTTTGGGAGGTGATGGTGGATGAAGATGATCAGTCTGTGAACAATTTGGCTTTTGGGAATTTAATTGACTGTTTGTGTAGAGAAGGATTGTTTCATGAGGTTTTCAAGATTGCTGAGGACATGCCTCAAGGGAAGAGTGTCTTTGACGAGTTTGCTTACGGGCAAATGATAGATTCATTTTGTAGATATGGAAGATACAATGGGGCTGCAAGGATTGTTTACATGATGAGGAAGAGAGGGTGTACGCCGAGCTTAGTGGCGTATAATTCTATTGTCCATGGGCTCAGCGAGGATGATTGTATGAGGGCTTATCAATTGTTGGAAGAAGGGAAAAAGTTCGGGTACTTGCCCTCGGAGTTTACTTACAAGGTTTTGATGGAGGGTCTTTGCAGAGAATGCGACCTTTGCAAGGCCAGAGAAGTTCTTAAAATCATGTTGAATAAGAAAGGTGTGGATAAAACTAGAATTTACAATATATATTTGAGGGCCCTTTCTCTTACGAATAACTCGACTGAGCTTCTTAATGTACTTGTTTTCATGCTTCAGACTGAATGCCAGCCTGATGTTATTACCCTCAACACAGTTATCAATGGTTTCTGCAAGATGGGGAGAATTGAAGAGTCTTTAAAAGTATTTCATGATATGATGACTGGGAAGTTCTGTCCACCTGATGTGGTGACCTTCACTGCTATTATATGTGGGTTGTTGAAGACTGGAAGAACCGAAGAAGCTTTTGATCTATTGCATAATGTTATGCCTAAGAAGGGTCTTAGTCCTGGTGTTGTGACTTATAATGCAGTTATCCGAGGCTTGTTTCGATTACATCGAGCAGATGATGCTATGGAGGTTTTTAATGGCATGGCGAGGGGTGGTGTGGTTGCCAACAGTACTACGTACACAATTATAATTGATGGATTATGCGAGTCTGACCAAATACCTGAAGCTAAGAGGCTTTGGGATGAGGTTATCTGGACCTCAAAGGTCCATGATAATTTTGTCTATGCAGCTATTCTTAAATGGCTCTGTCGCTCTGGAAAATTTAATGAGGCTTCTGATTTTCTATATGAATTGGTAGATTGTGGGGTAACTCCCAACGTTGTAAACTATAACATTGTGATCGATGGTGCTTGCAAATTAGGTCTGAAGAGAGAAGCTTATCAGATTCTGGGAGAAATGAGAAATAATGGGGTGGTTCCAGATGCTGTAACATGGAGGATTCTTGACAAATTACATGGCAATGTGAAGAGGTTTTGTGCTAAGGATTTAACTTATAAATCCAACAACGAGGGTTCCACAGAAGTTGAATAGGTTAAATATTTTGCATCAGTGGAGCGAGTGTTGAGTAGAGGAGAAAATCAAGGAAGAAACGGAAAAGGTCCAGTTTGGGAGCAAATATGAAATTGTAGAAATTGACCTTTAACACTGATGTAAAGTGATTGAAAGTGGTGGGTTTGAAAATTTGCATTTGGGAATGACCGAGGTTGGACATAAATGAGTTAGATGTATCACCAACTAGGTGGAGGCAGCTATCTTTGTTGCAAAGCGACATCAATTGTCTAAAGATGGTGGTAAAACATGAATACAATTCAAATTGAGATGTTGATCCATAAAACAAACATTACTAAATTATGGAAAATTTCCTTGTATAAAGTGCAATTTGTAGGATGCTGGCTCATTTGGAAGAACTAGAGGTTTATTTGCTTGGGTCATACGTAGAAATAAGAATTGTGATGGTTTTGCAAAGAATGCAATCTTTGAATTCAGCAGCCATGATATGGACATTAGATGGGCTGCTGATAGATTCTCCAAGAAGCAAGGAATTGCTTATGTCAATTATGATCAACTTGCTTTTGTATCATCACTGTAAGAATGTAAGTTGATTTCCACTTAAATTCATTTGGGTTCTATGCCAATGATTCACCCTTGCCCCCAAAGAGAAAAAAATACTTATAATTGTTGTCTCTATAACATGTCTTCACCTTTGGATGATGCTGTTCCAGATAACTTACTTTTAAGTGGAGAGAGCCGCAAATTTTCTTCCCAACAACGCAAGTCTCATATTGTATCTCGATCCATCCATAAACTAACAATATAGAATGATACCATCTCTTACTCTTCCAGCTATTGGTATAACTTTCCATATTTTATATCTTGCGTTGCAAATGGTGCTTTTTCACGTATCCATTTCAATTACGTCAAAAAAAAAAAAAAATGCACAAACTATCAATTTACGAAAAAAAAAAAAAAAGCAAAAGAAAAGAGGGCAAGACCATAGTCATTGCCACTGTTCTTTATAAGAATGCCTGCTGATTTTTGTAACTTTTGAACAGTTTAATAGTGTAATGTGTACCATTTGGGTATTCTTATGCCTTTCTCCCGCGATGAACACTTGGAGACTTTGCTATGGAGGTTTTGGAGATTTTGCTATGGAGGTTACTATGAAATTTTCGTACTTGATTTGTATGGGGAGATGGTAATCTGAACAAACCTCGTGAAAAGGTTGGGTCTTTATTGGAAAAACCTATTTTATCCTGCTTCCAAGAATTTGTCTTAAGCATCAACTTTTTCATTGTTTTTTGGTTCATTCTGATTAATCTCCTTCCATGTTTCTGATAGTGAGTTTTTCAGCTAATGAGGGTCTATGTTGGTGGTGGCTGAATCTCTAGTGTTTTTGGTTAAGGAATTGATTGACTTCTGTAGGTTTGATTTCATTTCTTGAGCTTCTATCTGCTTTGAACTTGTAATTCTGCTGTACCCCATTCTCTTTGTCTGGAATTGTACTTTGTTTGACACATCTATTTAGTTCTTGAATAATCGAACTTTGCCTATTTATTTTGATTCAGCAATTTGACATTTTACAGTTCTGTTACAATCCAGGATTTTTTCATATCTTTGTAATTCTATTTTTTTTTTAATTGAAGCGGTAATTTTTATTTATAATCGAATGTCGGAAATAAGAAGCGGCATAATAAACTCAGGTGCCTGCCCCTGCCAGACAAATACATTATCAATGAGATTGGCATGTTGAGCTAATCTAGTTGCTACCCTATTGCCCTGTCTATTGACGATCGCCACTTCATAAGAACAGAATTTCCGTAATTCGTTTGCCATATCAGTAACTCTGAGACCCGTAGAAGAAGTCACGTCTCTGGATTCTTTGAATATCTTCAAAACATTGGGTAAGTCTCCTTCAATGATTATCTCATCAATCTCCTGTTGCTGTGAAATGAGAATGGCTTCACTCATTCCATACAAACCAGCTGCTTGAGTTCCTTGATCTGCCCAAGTTGCATCCATTTTCTTTGAGAGGCCAGCCATAAACACCCCCGGTTCATTCCTAATGACAACTCCTATGCCATAGGTTTGGCCTAAATCCATAACAAACACACTAAAATTAACCTTAAATATACCTGCTTTGGGAGGAACCCATACGGCTGCAGCTTCTGAAACTGCAGGGGGGTGGATGATCATTTGATGCCCTTGTCTCTAGTGCCTCTTGTATTTTTTCAGTATACTCTGCCTCAACTTGTGTAATTCCCACCGGATTGGTCGAGATACCCTGATAGACCATTTATTTTTTCAGTATACTTCTTCCATTCTCTCTCTCTCTTATACCGCTGAAAACTTCTCTTTTAGACTGATCCACTATGGTTGGTAAACCTAAGTATTTGTCAATGTGCTTTGAACAAGCTGCACCCCCAAAATTCTTGGACAACCCCTTCCAACCGCGATCCCAGTGACGAGCCCGTCGCGCTCAGCTGCCGTTAATAAAGTTGACAACCTTTCTGCACAAATAAGGAAAGGGAAAAGGAAAAGGAAAAAGGTAATTAAAAAATAGAAAATTGAAATATATTTCCAAGCCACTATGAATTTGATTATGCTTAATTTCCACAACCTCAATGCTTTCTCATTGTCAATTAAATGCTATGTAATTATCTATGTTAGCCGCCTATATGGTTCTAAATATTATTTTCATCGTGGTCGATTTTGATATGTTCTAGAGTATGAGTATGCATTAAAATTTTATGTATCGAAAATAAGATTTTGTTAATCAAATAGAGACTAAGCCTATTATGTGCAATTTTCTTGAGGTGCTAACAGTATGTGACAATTGTAGCCTCCCATCTCTTCTAGCCTCCAAAGACTTGATCTTGCATCCTGGTCAAAATTGTAGCCTTATCAGCTAGAGGGTCATCCAATAGAGGTGGAGGTAGACGTTGGAAGCCTTTGTTTCAGCATCTCCCTGTGGTGCTCATTGGGCGAAGTCACCCTGATCAGGCATTGGTGGGATATCAGCTTGGTTTGGCTGTGGTTGCTGCTATTTGGACTGCTCCTACTATTGAGCTCGGTGATGCTTATCCTCCAGAACATGTGCATCATTCAAGGGGAGGATGGAGCTATCGATGGAACTAATAGGATGAAGAATCTCATCACCAGGTACTGTATTTAGTTCCCTCACAAGTACCAATCGATTGATAAAACACTTGATGGAGTAATACACGTGAGTGACATTCGATCCTTTCAAATGAGCCTAGAAATCCAAAATGGAAGATCTATAGTGGCTCCTATGTATATGGCACATATCAATCTCGCCTCCTCCTGTCTTGTTGTCGATATGTGACTGCAGGGTGAGATCACACCAGTATCCCTATGTAGTAGTCTGAAGGGAGGTGTGAGAATCTATAATCATCACTGTACGTACAACCCACTATGCAACCTCGCCTCTCTAATGCTAGCAACTAAATAAAAATCAAGCTGATGAGCATCGCCTGTGGGTGGATACTGGGGATATTGTACCCTCGGTAGTCTGAAGTGCTTCACAAACCCATTTCTGAAGTACAAAGTGTTGGACCAAAATAGTTTTTTAAGTATAAAAATTGAATTTTTGATCGACTTTGAACCAAAATTAAAGTGGGACTCGTTCGTTGTTTCGAGTAAACTTTTGTGGATTCATATTTTACTCCGCGAGGAGAATAATGTAGTATATTCACTTGCTCAAATCGAGTAAGAAATAAACGAGAAAATAGGCTTCAAAATGAGCTTCTTGAGATGTGGAAATAAATGTTATGTAATGTGGGATTTGACATCAATCCCACATTGGTTGAGGAAGAAATTCTACGTGAGCATATATAGGCCAAGTTTGCTTTATGGGATTGGGCCCCAAGGGGTACCACAATTTTATAAGCGGAACGAGCGTCTACATACCTTTGGTTTAAACACATGCACCACCCGTCCACCTCGCCACGCCACAGCTCAACTTGGCCAGGTTTGGGTGTGGTTTAGAGCAAACCCTATTTTTTTGGAGAAAATTCATTTAATTAATAGGACAAGAATTTCTTAATCCGAATTTAACTTTCAAGATCCTTTGAATCGCACTGGTTCGGATTTGTGCTTCCCTCCAATCCGAAATTTTTGAATCTAGTCCAAAATTATTTTTAAGTTGTGTCTGTTCATGGAGAACAGTTACTCAAGGTGTCTTCTGGCTGTTGCATTTTATCTTTTGGGTTGTGACTTTTAGTATGGTGGCTGTCTGAACAGTCACTAAAATGTCTATAAATACCCAGTTCATGCATTCATTCATTCATATTCATTGTTCAGTCTATTTTCGGCATTAAGGCAAACATTAGTGCATTGCAGTTAGCATTTCGACATTAAGGCAATGTGTTGGAGAGTACACAACACAATTTTTGGTTCACTGGACGAGTAGATTGGAGTGTTATTTCTACTCGTATAAAGATCATTGTATCCTGGAAGGCAGACGCTCGATATTCCATATGCATTGTGTGTGGGGGCGAAATTTGTCTTAAGGACATAGTGTCAAACACTACCATTGATCTACTTAAACTTCAATAACAGTTTCTGTTCTGCAACCGAGTTAGTATTTATATTGGTTAAATAAAAAGTTGCGTGTAACTCTTTCCTATAACTCTTTCATGCAAAACTGTTTTTGTGTATCTGTTTTGCATTTGATTGTTACTGTTTGTTATACATTACATGTTTCAAATCAGAAATTTCAATAAATGATTTTACTATATTTGGAATACCACAAACAACACAAAGGAGTCCTTGACAAACCACTTGCCTGCAAAACTCATGCACAACACTGACTATCGTGACACTTGGAGCTACGAAAATCTCAAGCCACTGCCTCTTGACAAATGTGGAAATGGCTCTCGAATAGGGCAAGTCCTCAAAGTTGACAGGACACTCAATGAGAACTGACCTCCTGGCGAACACGATGTGAGTCTCAACATAAGACTCATATGTTAGGAAATTTGTACGAAATTCTCAAACCTATGATCTAAGTAATAGGCTAGAACCTAAAGAGAATAGTTAAGGTGGCTTTGGAAGAGATTTGGAGAGAAATGAGAGTTGTGGAGAAGAAATGAGCTAAAACGCATGTTTTATAGAGGTTGGTGACCATCAATATTCCAGATTTGCTTGAGCAAGATTGTTTCCGCTTGAGCACACCATAATGCGAACATTATTTAGCATGCAATGCACAATCCGAATAATATTTAATATACAAGAATATAAAATCAAAAAATGTATCAGATTAATCTTGGACTTCATACTAATAATTAATTTGATCAAACAACTTGCTCTCAGAAAATTTAAGAACCAATGCAACATATATTCCAAACAACATTTATCAAGTCAAAGTCCTATTTGTATAGTCATTTATTCAAGACGGAATCTAAAAGAACAATCTAAGTCCACATGTAAAATGATTGATGAGTGCACAATATTGCATATTTTATGTCTCATATAATTCATTTTAGCTTTACTTATTAGCTATATGTTTTGTTTTAGTTTACTTTTAGTTTTATGAGGAATGTTTGTATTTGTAGGTGATTTATGGTAAAAACAACATTTTGCATTCATTTTTTATGTTTTGAAAGACTTTGGGAATGAGCTAGAAATGAAGCTAGGAGCATTGTTGTTCAATTTCAGAAAAATTAAGTTTTACTGGTAGGTTTTGTATCTGTTCATCAGGTGTCAGGTAGCAGACCTACCGGTAGTTGTGATGTGCTACTAGTTCATTCATCTTTAACCTATCAGTTCATCTGAAACCAAAAGTTTGCTACTAGTTCATTGATGTTAAGCTACTGGTAGATCTGAACAATAACTTTGCTAGTGGTAGGTCGAGACTTGCTTCCTACCCATTCATTAATATTTTATTTCAGCGAGGGCTCCTTTGGAAAGTCTATCAGCTGAGGATTTTAAAGGTACCTCTATTGGTAGAAAAAGAGGAAGAAATTAAGTCAATTATTCCATATAAAAACCAGAGCTGAGCAAGGGAGAGGGGATCAATCCTATGCTACTTTTTACAGATTTTTTCTTTTCTTCTCTTCAACCTTAGCAGATAGGGTTTTTCTTTAGGTTTTCTACCAGTTCTTCAATGTTTTTTCTTCTTTTATATTTACGAAGTATTGTCTTTCTTTAGTCCTTTAATTATCACAAGCAGAGTACGTTGATTCTATTTTTTGTAACCGTTTATAGTTTTCATCTCAACACAAGGTATTTGGTTGATTTCAATTCAAGTTCAATTTCTCTTTTGATTATGATCATGTTTTTAATAATTGGTTTTAGTTTTACTTTCGCCATGAGTGAGTAGTCAATTTCCTGTATGATCGGATGAGAGATTCTCATTCGTAAATATGTAGTTTGATCTAATTAGGATTTTTAATCTCAAAATTATTTTATTGATGGAACAATTGATTTTAAAAATATAGTTAATATGTATATCTCTTTACTTATCCATAGACAATTAGGTTTGACACGGACAATTCTTGGAATCACTGTAATCAACATGAATGTAAAGGCATGATCATACAAAAATTCTTTTTTTTTTTTTTTTTTTGGGGGGGGGAGTAAGAGTGACTTGTCAAATCCAAAAACGAAAACATGAGATCCTCTATTCATAAAAAAAAACATGAGATCTTCTATTCATAAAACAAAAGTTACATGTCTCAAAGAAAACATCACACAAATTTTTTTTAAAGCACATCAGATGGATCAATAGGATCAACAGTTGAATCATCAATAAGAACAGTAAAAGAAACGACGACAGGGGTGTTGGCCACAGGGACCTCGGTCGGGGGAAGATTCCTGCCTAAAGAAGAAGGGACGGTTACGTCATTCATAGATAAAAGCTCAAAATCAGTGGGAACTTTGGCTTCCACCAAGGCCGTATCCCACCCTTTCTTAAAATAAAAACCTTCAATCACTGGGATTTGCTCCGCCATAACACTCTCCGCCTTCTCAAAACCCTCATTATAAGCCTTGTCCTCAGCATCTTTGAGTGAAGATCGAAGGGTTTCCATATTTGCTTCAAGGGAAGAATTAAGCCCCTTCACCAAGGCAGCTACATCAAGAGTCACCTTCTCTAATTGTTCGGTTGTCTTTAACTTTTGGCCAAGCTCCTCATTCTGACCAAATAATTTCTCAATGTGACGCCCCAATTTTTCCAGGGTGATTTAGTATATTTTAAGTGACTTATGTGACAAATATACAAAATTCATCAAATGAATTGAAGTTCACGTACTGGTTTAGACTATACAATCAAAGCATCTAACATACTTTCAAGTAACTTAGGTACAAAGGATTTGTAATTTAGGCATTCATTTAATATCATAGTCTAAGTACCCAAATTATACATTTATCCCAAAAGTAGTCCATAATCGACACTATTATATTTTGTCGATTTTGAAAACACACCAATGCAACAAAACATAAGTCACAAATCTAGAATTTGCTTGAGCGTTAACATGAAATATAATATCTTGTCAGCCAACTGAGCACAAATATTTAAGATAGCTTCAGGAAGAAATTTTTGTCATTTCTTGATCTATTCCCTGCAAAAAAGTTAGGGTAAGCCAACGCCCAGTAAGAAAACAACTATCGAGTGTTAATCCCATCCCACATGACATAGGTCTACACGAAATTCTCAAATAATATTCTTGACAAGTAAATATAGCAATATTAAGCTCAAACGTGCTTAAAGCAGACATATGATGTACCAACAAATAGAAATCATTCGATTTAGCAAGTACCCAATATTACCTATTCGTGCCATGGGTCACTCTAGCCTTTCAATCTTAGACTATGGTTATTTACACCAGTACATCATTTGTTATGCACAAACTCTTAGGGAACACCGAGTACCTTTGAGGGCTCTAACCTTGAGTGTACCCCACCCCCTCGTCCTTAGATGCTTTCAATCAGGGCATGAGTAATCCCACACCTCGACGGATGCTATACTTGATCAAGACTTATTCTGGGTCTTTCACCTAAGGGAGGAGCGATCCCTACTTACTTGTCCCATATTGTTTCAACCATTATCATTTTGTGTATCACATCATCGATTATGTATACTAACTAAGATTATCACGTGCGATGCACCTTCCATCGAATTACCATCTAGTATACTCATGGTGCAGTTAGAAATAAGCATTTCAATACCATCTCGACATGTTAATACATATAAGAGTATATACTATTTCAATCTTAGTGTTATTATCACCATTGTAAACATGTCGTCATTTATCATTCTTTGTATGTCAACATATCTCATGTATATCATCATACTTTAGTGGTTGTTAATATTGACTAGAATTACATCGTTACTTATACAACTAATATATATACTCTTCATAACCATGAGTGTTGTATATAAATATATACACTCCTAAAGAGCTAATAATTTGTGATCGCCTCTATCTTTTGAGTTTTAGAAACTTTCGGGGTCTTTAGATAATTTCTAAAACACATGATTTAGTAATATGGCGTAATTTTATAATCTCTAAGACAATCTCATGACTGTTCGAGGTCAATCTACAATTTCAAAAACAGTTCCTAACTATTAAAAATACTGATTTAGTGTTTAGATAATATTTTATGATCTTCTGGGGTCATTGTGTAATTTCAACAGGAACTTATCTGTTACTCCTGAAAACACAAAAGGGTTTTTCTGTCACTTAACAAAACCTTGGACTTAATTTTATAATTTCAGTAAGTAGGTATATGTTGTAACTAAAACCAAAAGGGGTAGTTTCTGAATTTAATTCATCATCTCCATCTGTGCCCAGTACTGCTATTCTTCTTCTTCTGCCTGATTTCATCTCTTAAAATTATTTTTGTTAATTTCTTTAGGAGATACAAAACCCATTTGAGAGACCTACACATCCAAATAAGTATATAACATACCCACATATACACCAATATATGTGTAATTCCATCATGCATAAACCCACATGTTTCATATATATATATATATATATATATATATATATATTCTACAATCAATAGATCAAGGAAGATAACAAGATAGTTCTAATCCTACCTTTGTACTTGGATTGATCATCCCAAGAGCTTTAGCACCTCAACAATGGTGGATGACCTCTCTCTCTCTTTCTCTCCTTATGTGTGTGTGTGTGTGTGTATGTTTATCTTCCAAGACCAAGGCTACCCGATTTCTTTCTCCCCCCTTTCATTTGTTTTGCCTGTATTTATACACTAAGGAGGAGTGGTTTCAGTCTTTAGTCAAAGTAATGATCTATGGTCATGGGCGGCAATGACAGGCAATTATACTTCTTTGCCTTCCTAAAATGGTTAATTTCAGCTAAATAGTCATGGCAGGCTGCCATGGCTGTGCTATTCATCATCATTTTTTTTAATTATTTTTTTAATTCATTTAATTTCGTTTAATTAATTTAACTTAAGCTAATTTGTCCTCGGTACTAAACATAGTCAATATCATACTAGTCAGACTCGTTTTCATGAGAGAAATTCAACAATGAAGTCCATTTCTTCATCCAAGTTTTCTATTAAAAGTAAAAATTTTGATAACTCAATAGATATAATTATAAATTGTTTGGAGTCGATCAATATCATCAAGAGCTTTTAGGGAATCTGCCTCTGACGCCCATACATCTCCATAGCCAAAGACTTCGAGGCTAGGGCTTCTTTTACCTCTTTGCTCCTACTCACAACTCGAGACCCAAGGTCAAATACTCATTGCATGCCCTAAAAGAAGACATGAGGAGGAATGGGTTAAATACTAAAAAATCCGAGAAAGGAAAAAGAATACCAAAGCCTTACCACCACCATCAATTGAACAACACTCCGAACAAGAGAATCGTCGTGCTGATTCTCAAAAATTCGTAGATCGGGGGGAAGGATCGTAGCCTTGTCCAAACCCACCGCAACATCAACATCATCAGCGACAGAGTCCTTTGAATGAATGTCTATGTCTCTATCATGAGCCCGCATCCAAGGCTTCCAGACCTAAGCCCCTCTAAGATCGTCGGCGAACGGCTCGACAATGACTTTCCTTTTTTTCTCAACAGATTGCCCCCTTACCAACTTGATAATTGAAGTAGAATCCTCTACCAAGTCACTATCATCCTCGAGTTCAGGCGATAAAGCCCGATGCTTTGAAACAGTAGTGACATGACTTTTGTTTTGAAATGACGGAGAGGGTTCAGTTCGGACTGCAGATGGTCGAACCACCGCTGATGTATCTGGCTTTGGTGTCCCTCCAGAAGTCGGGCCTAGGACCAGATCAATGAAATTCTTCATGACTCAGTGATTAACCCTAATTAGTATGTAAATTAATATAGCTAAATAATTACATTATGTAAGATAAATCAGTTAAAAACTATAAATTAGGGTTTGTGCATAAGCTGGAGTTTTATGCATGTTATGTTTAAAATTTCAGGGTTTTGTGCAGAATTGCCGGAAAGTATAATGAGCATTTTGTTAAAGCTTGAAATTAGTAGGGAATAAAGTGTAATTCAAGACCAAGAACATGCAATAAGAAGATGGAAGGCCACTAGCAAACAAGGACCGTTCAGACGGTGGTGGTGGCGTTAGGACAGTGGTGTTAGGCGGTTGGTGCTCATCATCCACCTCCTGTTTCCCTGATGCCTATATAAAGGGACTGCACTTCATTTGAAACGGGATGGTGGGGAAAAAAAGAAAGGGAGAGAATCCAAGGGAGTCCAGAGAGAATTCAAGAAAAAGAAAAGAGAAAGAGAGAAAGTCATAGAGAGAATTCAAGATCCAGTCTGTCCTACTCTCTAACCAAAACTCTGTATTTCTACATTTCTATTATGTCTTTCTATTTGAAAAATTGAATTGCTGCCACCTTTGTGCCTAAACTGATATTAAAGGTGGTTGTATTTCAATTGTTCCTTGTGAAAGAAGTGTCAGTGTTTGTATTCTATTTACTGTTGTAATGATAATTACCTGCATTTCTTACTTGTCTATAGTAATGGAGTGTGAGTAGTTACTTATACCCTTCAGTGAGGGGTGAACATATATATAATATTGGTTAAACTATGGAAATACTGATGTTTTATTAAGCTATATATATATATATATAATATGCTCACGGTTATGAACGCCGAGCAATATTTAATATTTTATACTATCTATTATTATGAACTTCATGCATGATACAGTGACGTATGTAATTGCATGTTACTATGTAGCCCAAAATTATGTCATCAGTGAATCAACAGCCTACCGGTTGAATATCTACGGTGTTCCAACAGTAAGGCTTGACCTCCAAGTGCACTAAGAATGTTTTAACTGTTGCATGGTACAATTGTCAGATTAATATCTAAATAATCCTCTTGAATTGCTTGTCTTTCTGGATTATTAAGGTTATTTAACTGATACAAAATATAAAAATTGTCAGATGAATAACCTAAATTATCTTCCTGAATGGTTTGTCCTTTTGGATTATTAGGATTGTTTAACTGATACATACTATAATAAAGTCAATTAAGTAATTCAAGTGATCCTCATGAATGGTTTGACCTTCTGATTTACTTGGATTAGTCAATTGACAAATAATACCACCAGTTAACCTAAGAAATTGTTGTGTTATGGTTAAATAATATCACCAGCTAACTTAAGAAGTTATTGTGATATGATTTATATACATCAAACCTACAGGTTAACTTTCCAGTGACTTGGAAGTTAATTGTTGTAAGGTAGCATTTTCAGTACTTAATCAATATAAAACATATGAGATCCTTAAACTAAAGGGTACTTTTTATATTGTTTTTTTTTATCAATTTATTTATACATTTCATTTATTTAGACTAATTATCAATATAAGCTCACATCACAAACTATCTCATGTTACACTGCTTCAACAATAACTTCATTGTTCTTATTTTAAATTCTCATTATTAACACTATTCGTGGGATCGATCTTGGACTTGAACCGAGAAAATTACAATTCGACCACTTATACTTGAGTGTATAATATAAAATATCATATCACGAAGTAAGTTCGAATCACTCAGTTTCTCCCTATACTTCTCTTCTTAGAACTCTTTGATACAGAAGATGAGGATGCCTTATTTGCTCGAGCATCTCTTTGAACCACTAATTGCTAAGAAGTGAGGGAAGGAACCGCTATAAAGGACTTGTAGGTTGGCTCGTGTCCTAGCAACACATGTGCAGCTCGACACAAAACATTTGTGGCCCCAAATCACCAAACTTTTTGCAAATTCGAAAGATTGACCTTAAAATTAGGCACCTTGCCCTTTGCAAAATCACCTGTAACAAATACAAAATCCTTTTAACTTTTTTTTTTTTTTTATAATAAAACACATTGAAGAATGAAAGGGCACCAATGAAAATCGCCTAGTGCACCCTCTTCAAACGGACAATTGTAGTTGGGCTTTTAGCCATCTATGTTCCCAATTTTCGGGAACAAACAAAACATCTTTTTCATGACCCCTGTTCGAATCAGGGAGGTGGATGACCAGATAACGGTCGATTTTTTTGACCAGTAATTCTTATCTGAAGTGGGGGCAATCGTATAACAATCAAGGATTTCCCAAATACCTAAGTTGGTACCAAGGAGGTTGTTTAAGGCAAAAACCTGCATTACTATCCTGAAGAAGTTTGGACAATACTGAATGAGACAAAGTTTTAAAGAGTGTAGGACCCAAATAAGTAGAGTGTGGAGGGGGAACCTAATTCCTCCCTCTGTGATGGCTCTCGTAGGAATAGGAACAAATTCCTAGGACCCCAACAAGGGTTCATCCTCACCCACCACTCTAACAAACACATCATTTGAGATTGCAAATTTGGATCGAAAATTGGATATCTAATCTTTCTTCATAGGAGCCATTGGAGAAAGTAAACAAGAGGAGGAAAGTGAAAAGGCACTTACAAAGAAAAAAAGGAAAAGAAACACCAAAAGACCTCAAAGTATGCAGAAATGAAGTAAGGAAGACAAAAAGACAATTATAGTAAATGATGGCCACACCCAGACGAAAAAAAGACTATAATAAATGATGTAACACACTCCTATGAAAAGAAGAGAGGTGCAGTTCGTCTTTTTGCAGGAAATCATGCTGGTCATTTAATGCGATATGATTAAAGAATTAAAAAAAATGTCTTGCTGATGTTTGCCACGTGGCAAACATCCCCTGAGGGGCAAATGAAGGAGGGTAAAATGATTGCACACATAAAGCCCGCATAACTGAGCAATCACCATTACTCGGTCAAATAAATTGAGAAATGTTCCCTCGAGTTAATCAGGGGAAAACGTGGGAAAGAGTTCGGCAGATTTATAAGGATTTATTACAAACGTGAAAGGAAAAACCGGAGGAGATGGAAGTCAAAAGTGAGGAAAATTGTGACTGTTATGATAGATGTGCCATCTAATCTGGCTAAAGGAAAGGAACCTTAATCGAAGGATGAGACACATACATTATAAATAGCAAATGCTTAGGTCGAAGGTATACACTTCTTTTCTGTTATCGAACATACCTACTACAAAAACTTTTATTAAATTATGCATTGAGGTCACTCCGACCAGCTCAACTCCGGTATCTAGCAATTTGCTCGTTTTGCAGGAAAATGAGAGTGGCCCATATTTGTATTTCTCAATCAAATTCTAATGACTTTAGGTAATAGATTTTTTCCTCTTACATATTTATAAAATGAGAAATGAAAAAGATAAATATAAATATAATACTTGAAGGACCTCAAAATGACTTTGCATGATTAAACTAGTTAATGGGCTCACGTGTCCTGAAACACATGGCAAAAAGCCACCTATGAATGCCACGTGACTAAGGCAGAGTGCCTCTGCAGGTCATTGGTTTGCCGGCCCTCGCAAATGCCATAGAAAGCTGAATTAATAGAGGAAGTGTTCGATTAAGTAAACCGAGCAGTAGACAAGACTAAGCAAACACAGTGATTTTAGTTCTATTCTGAGTTTGTTTAGGATAGAGGAAACTAGTCTATCCCGGGTAATCAAAGGCGATGCGATATCGATAAGGAAGTTGTTTACGAATGAGAAAGGAAACCTAAAGAAGCTCCACCGTAAATCAATGGGATTCGGCTAGGAAACGGGTTTACCACCATGAGCCGTGCGAAAACCCTTGTAGAAAGGGCGTCAAGAAAAACTATAAGTATCATGTAATGCTTAAGCCTAAGGTACGCTCTCTCTCCCCTTTGGAATTAGTTCACTTAACATCAAAATATTTACTGACTTAAGTATCATAGTACCTCCAACGGACCGATCTCGAGTCTTTAGCTGTGTGTTCGTTTTGCAGGAGGGAGGAGTTTTGCTTTGTTTTCCCCCCAAAAACTACTAGATCCCTTAATCACCATCACTCTCAAAGGTACGCAATTTTTCCTCGTGCACTACTCATGGCCATCAACATTTTTTTGGGACTACGAGAATTCTGATGGAATTATATGAATTTCTTTATATCTAAAATATTGGTAAGAATGTATACTATAGCATCATAACTATTGAAGAACAACCACGTGATTTTGTTGAGGTAAAATAGAAGGTCAAGGAGTATACATTTTACTCATGAAGAAGGCTAAGATATCGAAGGAAGTATCACACTGAGGAAGGCTAAGATATCGAAGGAAGTATCACACCGAGATTTATACATTCCTAAGGTTTAAGTCATAGTTTTTTGGACTATTAGTTAGAACTACTAAGAACATGATCGATCACAGAATGTTATGATTGATCATGAAAGTAACAACTTTTAAAAGTAAAGTTACACATTTTATGGGTGAAGTTACGGTTAGTCATGATCAATCACAACCTTTCTGCATCAATGATAAATAACCTCAATCACCACCGAGCAATTGGTCCAATGGTAAGAATTCAATTCTTTTTGCTCAATTCTTGAGTTTGAGTTTTCATAATTATGGTAGTTCGGTGGAACTAAAGATACTCTTCAATGCCTAGAGTACGTTGTGGGGTCTTAGATTTGGCACCGGCGGTGGTGTGATGGAGTTTTGTGCAGATAGTTGTGCGGTGCCGATGGACAATGCTCCCTATGTAAAATAATCTATTTGCATATCTATTTTACGTACAAAAAAAAAAACCCTCTTATCAATTGTAACTTAATTATTAATAGTAACTTTCATAATTTAATCACTCATTCATATAATAGATAATCACGTTCATGTAAAGAAATGGCTTTCAGTTTATCTATTTTCTAGTTTTTTGATTGAACGGTTATACCACATGATACCGCTGATGTAGTATAACCATTACATTGAATATTTACTCAGAATTTTAGAATAAATATTCAATATAACGGTATTCTAAATAAATATTCAATGTAACGGTTACACCATGTCAATAATGCCACGTGATGTAACAGACTAATAAGAAAGTTAGAAAATGGAGAAAGTGAACCATTTTTTTTTTTTTGCATGGATGATGGTTATTGAATTTTGTAGGACTCACTTGTCCACTTGTTAGTAAATAATTACATAAAATAACACTATTGATATAGTGTAACTGTTATCGTCAATATTTTCCAAGATCTCCCTCTCTCGCGCACGCACACCTACACCCATAGTGATTTCATTTAGCATTTTTTTTTTTTTGTACTTTGGATCACGCACACAGTAAGCATACTGGTCCTCTGTTCATGGAATTCATTTTGTTGGAGTTATAGGTACGCTTGTGAGTTTTGTCGGATGAGAGGAATTTGTATTGCATTTTAGTTGATTTGTGTTAAAAAACACTTTATTCATATTCAATTTTTTTTATGAATTCATTTTTAACGAATCATTTTATATCGGGTTCGTATGTGTAGAACGGATAATAAATGATTTATGTCGTGTTAAATCCATTTGTTTATGAAATGGGTTGTTTAAAAAAAGCTCGATCCTTCTAATTTCGTATTGTGCATGTGATGTATTAACGAATTATATCATATTTTAACAACTTTAATTACAAGTGTTCAATTTTGAGAAAATGATGCGGTGGTAAGTGGATTTATGGGGAATAAGCTCTAACTATAAAGGGTTCGATGATAAAGAATCTGTGAGGGAATAGGTTCTGATGATGGCGGTTTTGTGACCAAGAGCCTTCACTTTGCTCCATGAATGCGGGCATAATGGAATTTCTCCCTTTTTTTAATATTGAAAACAAAAATTCAAATTCATACTCCAAAGTTGGGTATCAAAATATGATAAACTGTTTAAATCTTCTTTTAAGTCATATGTTTCGTAAACGAGTGTATCTGATATTATTAATAAACGAATTGAGTATAAATGAATTTAATTAAAAAAAAATACACAGATACAACTTGTTCATATATTAGTTATACACCGTTTATAATTCAAAAGTGTCACAATTCATTAAACATAAATTAATAAGCGAACCGGCACTCACCTCCTTGAGAGAGAGACGGAGAGAGAGACAGAGGACAAATTAAGAGGAGTTCCGAAGCTCTCTCTGCAATGGTGGTGAAGGGAGAGAAAGTTCTGACAAAGATTGCGGACTCTTTTAAGGAACTTGCTAATTGCGTGAATTCTCCGACGCTGCGTCTCGAGGTAGGGCAGTTCGTTTCCGCTTGCCGCGCCATGGTCCCTCTCATAATCTACTTAGGAATGCCTTATAAGTTCGCCGTCATGGAATTTTCGGCCAAGGTGATCTTTCTTTTCACTAATTATTTGATTTATTATATATATATATATATTTGTGTCAATTATTCTCTCAAGTTCGAATATTAACTACTACAACTCGAACGAACCCTTAAAAATATGAGAAGTGTTGAAGAGACTTCTAATCTCTCTTAAGAGCATCTACAATTATGATTTAAATTTAAACTCAAATTTAAGTAAAAAATTTGATTTCAAATATAGTACTTCAATGACTAAATTTAGATATCTACTCAAATCTTTTAAAAAAAATTCTTTATTATCTCAAAACTCATTGTTTGTGTGATTCAAATCATAAAATCTTGTAAAATAAATAAAACTTGCATATCTCTCTATAAATGGGTAATTCAAAAAAAAATTAAATATGGATACTCCCTAGGAATAAAAAGAAACAAAAGAAAACTGCCTGAGAATTCATGGATTGTTCTAATCTCTTATCTTCTTTTGTAAATCTAGATAAAGAAAAAAATATTTATTTTGATATGAGTCTGGTCTAACCAACACAAAAAATGGATCATTTTCAACAAAAATGGATGATTGAAGAAACAAAATGATGAAATTTCTAAATTTGGGGATAGTGAAGGCTTGAAATTTCATGAAGAATTGGAGGCCTGCAAGTCCACTATTGACAGTATTGAACTCAAAAAAATTAAGAAAATTTTGATCGGTAGGTTTAGGGTTTATATAGTATGAAAGATGTATAAAATTAGGGTTTTGAAAAATATAAAAATCAAGAAGATGGAAGATGAAAGCTGAAAAGAAAGAAGCTTACCTACAGGTCTTTAAAGGATCTATGAATACTTCGGTGGCGATCAACGATGGAAACAACATAAAAGAGAGAGGTAAGAAAAAGTAGGAAACAAGTTATCGAAGAAATCTTTTTTGTTTTGGATTAAATAAAAAATTACCGTTGAAAATTTGGGTATAGAATTTGAGTTTCTTTTAATTTGAGTCTGGAATAAGTTTTTTTTTAATTTGGTACAAGTTTAAGTCCAATGTTAAAGAAGATTTTTAAACCATTTAGACTCAAATTAAAATTTGAATTTAAATTTAAGTTAGAGTTGGATATGCTTTTATGCATTAAGTTAGGTAGGGTGACAATCGAGTCGTGTTGTGTCGGGTTCGTGTCGTGTCGAACATTAGTCATGTCGAACATTAGTCAACTCATACCCAACCCATTTAACTATTCGTGTCGTGTCGAGTTGACCTATTTATTTTCGTGTCGTGTTCGTGTTCGTGTTCATATTCGTGTTGAGCTATGTAAACTTTGAATAAAAAATTTAATGCTAAGATTTTATTTTCACTTAATTGAATCTCTCCTCATACTTTTTCTACAAACTAAAAATTAACTTAATAATAATAATAACAACAATAATGAGTAATAATATCTTTTTTATACAATAATTATGTCAGTGCTTGATAAACAGTTACAAATAATTAATATTTTATTTATATAATACAAATTAAATATGTTAATCGTACATCATACAACCAAATTAAACATCATAAGTAATAGAAAAAACAAGTCATCAAAACATGAAAATTCATACATGCAACGAAAAGGTCAAGTTTATCTCCTTCGAATTAAAAACTTCGTGTTGACGGGTCAATCAAACCCGAACACAACTCATTAACACTTCGTGTTGGTGGGTCGTGTCATGCGCGAGTCGTGTCAAAAAATTAATCAACTCAAACCCATTTATTCGTATCGAGTTATCGTGTCGTATCAAAAGTTATCACCCCTAAAGTTAGGCTATCAAACAACCCTTGATGCACAATACACTTTGTTGTAATAAATTAATTTGAATCTAAATTTAAATCAGAGTTAAATATGCTCTTATGCATTAAGTTAGGCTATCAAACAACCCCTTTTGCTCAATACACTTTGTTGTAAATGCTTTTTAAAAATATTTTTGGGAATAAATTATACTTTGACGGTTTAACTATGACTATTTTTATATTATCCCTTAATTATCGTGTTTTTTAAATTGTACCCTAAATTATTTGATTAGTTTGACAGTGTTCTAACTATTAACGTCTATAGCATATTTAATGGAAGTTTGTTTCATTTTACTCTCAACTTATATAATTTTTTTCACTTTATCCTAGTACGTCAATAATTTTCGTCTAAAAAAAGAGTGTGCTTAGGATAATATAAAATAATTCAAGTAGTTGATGAGATAATGTGAAAAAAAGGAGATAATTCAAGGTGTAAAGTAAAATCAGGTCCATAGTTTTGGGATCAAGTGTAATCCATTGTTGGGACTTGCGGTTTTGCTTCTAAAATTAATCAAATGTATAATAATACATAACAAAGTGTATTGTGTACTAAAAGTTATATAGATCACTTTTCGAAAATAGTAAGTAATCATGCTTTTATTTTTGTGAAAATTACACTGCTATGAAGTTTGTTAGTGAAGTTATTTTTTTGATAAAAATATTACTTAAAAATATTATTTAAAAATATATGTATATATAACATAAGAGATTGGAGTTAAGAAAGTCAAAGAAAGAAAAGACGAGGATATATATGTTGTTCGACATATTATTTCTATATCTACAGACTAAGAAGTTTGCTTAAATGAATCTGATGACCAAAAGAACAAAAAGAAAGAAAGGTGCTGCTAAATCAAGTTAGAAATGAGAGAGGTAGAGAGTGATTAACCAACAGAATAATTGTGGTGTTTATTCATTCATTGTTGTTTGTGTGGTTGTAAGGTTGATGCACTAGTGGAGGGATCGAAGCCAATCGATACTCTAGAGGACTTAATTGATCATGATATTGAACACAAGTGCGCAAAGGTCTCATGCAGTAATTCGAGAAACCTTGTGAGAGTGAAGCGCTCAATCGACATGCTCAAGGTAGTATTTGAGCAAATTCTAAACTAGAGGTAACTTATAAAAAATTTATTTTATATATCTATATTTAGTGAATTCATGGCAATAATAGGTGTGAGACAATAGCTGATTTTGGACCATTATATCACTGAGGTATGCCTCTTGGTTTTATGCTCAGCTTGGGCCAGTTGTTTGCTGCAGTACACAATAGCCTTCTCTTTTCTAGCTAAAATGTAGTAATTAGAATGGGATATTACTTGTCTGTCGAAAAAAAAACCGAGAGATACGAGGACTATGCACTTTGCATATTTGGCATGAAAAACCTTCTAACATGAAAAGCTTTTCTTATCAATTTGCACGAAGAAACAAAAATGTCAAGAGATACAAATGGACCTTACAATTCAACCAAGGCTGCCATTACATATGCAGGTCCCTTTCCTTTGTCTTTTTTCTAAATTACCTTCTTTGAGTTTATTCATTTTATCTTACATTATAAGATATATTTTGCCCTTTAGCTCTGAAAGAAGTAGTAGTAGCTAATGAATGAGTAAGTGACTTTTATAAACAGTTTGCTGGTTTTCCATTATATATCAGTGAACTTTATTCTTTCTTCCAGATATATATACTACTGCTAGAATAATCTAACAAGTTTTAAGAATACCTAGATTTCATTTGCAGGGGAAATTCCTTAATTGGTCATGTTTCAAGAGCATATGAGCAGGTTTTTGCTCCGTACCATGGATGGGCTATTAGAACTGCTGCCTATACTGCAATAAATTTCGTTCCCACAAAAGCATAAGTCTTGAAGAAATGTAATGAAAATGGTAAGTGGATAATGTATCAAAACTTGCAGCCACCATCGCATGAACAGTTGATTAATTTCAAAACTGTGAATGTTAAGTTGCATGCTTAAACCCAGACCTTATTAACCTGATTGATTGTATGTAACGTGTACAATGAACAGTTACTCATCCAAATACTTTATCCAAGTCCAAAATTAGCTTGCATCAAAATACTACATATTTGTAGGTTTTTGGATGAGCTTGATTTTGATATTATTTTTCAATATTCTTGCTTTATTTTTTTTCCAGAGGCCTCAGCATGGATTCAGATGCAAAACTATGTTATAGCATCGTCTTCTGTTATACAATATATTGAGAATTTATTTCACTCAAGGGAATCAGGCAACGAGGTGCTAGAATTGGTATAATTAGCTATTACACACACTCCTTTAAGTTTGTAATATGACCTCATGTTGAAGAACTTGGCTCAAGATAATGCATGTAATAACCACATGATGTGCTAGGTTAAACTGTTTTTGTCATGTTTCCCTTTTATTTGTAGAATGAACCATTTGAACTTATGAGAAGGTTTCTGTTAGATAATTTGTAGCTGATATGGATCAAACCAAGTGTCTGCCCACATCAACAAAAATGTTGCATGTCTATTTGGATAATTTGCATCTAAACGACTCGTCGTAGTCACGGTTGCTCTGTTTTGAATTGTTCATCGTGTGATGTTTTCTTCAATTATGTAATAGACTACGCAGCCAACCTTCCACTGGGGAGTGTTAGGGTATGTGACTATGTCTGGTCCCAGCTGCAATTGCATGTTTTCTTCAAATATGTAATAGACCCTATCGACAGGTCTCTTCCTTGCAATAGACTTTTCCAACACCATAATTGGACCAGCTTGGGTTGGTTTGCCCTAATTGTTCGGAAGGAAAGTACAACCCTTTTGAGTATTTTAACACTTTAGTCTTCTGGATTTCTGACGACCCTTTGAGTATTTTAACCCTTTAGCCAATAAGGTCTAGCTTTTGTTTCTCCTAGTGTTGACAGGCATGACTAGTGAGGCGAACCTCTCCCCACTAGAATTGCCAAAAGAATGCAGGTGGGAAGCTAACCGAGTAAGCACACTAATTGTTAAAAAATTGACTAATTTCGTGAATTCTTGATATAAATCTCAACATAATTTCATGGTTAAGATGCTTCAAAGATCAAGTTTTGAAAACATCAAAGAACAACGGTGTTCTACAAAGTCAAATCAAGAGATATTTAATACACTTTCAATATTTATGACAAATGTAATAACCTAGATACATAAGTATACTTGGTTTATTTATAGACTTTGGATAATTAGGATAATGGAATTGAAATTAGGATTATCTATGAATGAATCTTAGGCCTTTCATGAAAAATATTTTCTAAATCTTAAATGTGTTTTAAAAATATAGAATGAGTGATGTATTGGATCTCATTTGAGCAACACTTCTTAATGCTCAATATGTCAAGTTTTTGCTATATTTCTAAATTAAAAACTAGTAGAGGTCGTCATCTCCTTGCTTGTCTTCGACTAGAGCGGTCTTTGAACACGTAGAGCAAATGGAGAACAAGTGGAGCTGGCTCTCTAGCTACTCGAGTGGTCTGAGAGACGACTCAAGCAACCTTGAGACAGCTCGAGTAGTCTGTTCCCTGAAGGTCTAAAATAACTCATTTTTCACTCCAAAAACCATTGCCTTATGACTGCCCTCTCACTACTCGAGTGGTCGATTACAAATTTGAGTTTACTTGGGCTCTAATTAAACATTATTTTTTGGGGCTATTGTTTCAACCTAGGTTAAGTCTCTACGAGAGAGAGCTTCAAGAACAATTTTAGATCGCTAGAATCCAAAAGGTCAAATCATCTTGATCCTTTCTATTCAACTTCACACATCGAAGAAGAAAATCTTATTTGTTATTCTACCATAAACCCCACATTAGTGTGTGTAGATTGAGAATTTTGGGTGCGTCCTAGAAGATTGTTTGAAAGGCCTAGATGGTTCATTGTGGTGAGCGCATCCAAGTGAAGCTACTCAAGATCAAAGAGGGTTTTCATGTCAAAAAATTGTTTGTGTTATGGACAATCTTTATTGCTGTATTTTTCACAGATACTTACAATAGCACAAATGCGCATAAAATTTGTTCGATGGAATCCTTGTTTAATTTCTTTATTTGACATATTCATCGATTTAGTTGTGGTTAGTGAAATTGGCATGGTTGTAGGGATTCGATTGATTGATTGGATTGTTGGGGCTTCTTGTGGACATACATTGCATCCATTCATTGATAAGAGGTTGTTATCGTGGGTGAAAGGGATTCAAATGGTCAATTGACAAAATTCATTGTTCGATTTAGTAATTGTGGTCATTTAGGTTTAAAATTTGTGATTTTTGTAGCTTTAATTTTAATAAAATTATTTATCCCTCTAGGTTGTGTCTAACAATTCCACATGTATAATTGTGAAGAAAGATTCACTCGATTCTCTCCACCCCACTAATCAATACCAAGGAAGAACAGGATCAGGGTCTAGATGAGATACCAAGCTACGAATTAAGAGATGAGTGGGACAGTGGAATAAATATTCTCTTATCAACCAGGCTTAGTTGTTATGAAGGGTGAGTAATGGCCTAATGGGGTACTCATAGCATAATTACTTGGGCAGGCCAGGGGCCCGTATAAGCTACTCCTAACCACCTTTGTACGGAAGGTCACATGCTGTGCACTAGCTGCCCGTACCCCCAACAACCTTGACCATATTTGTGTGACCAAATGGGCTATGTGTGCCATATATGTCCATGAATTAATTAGATATGTGGAAGATACCTTGGATACACATGTGACTTGTGTAGGGCAGTGGAAACTAAATGTCCCTCAGGACCCTAGCGCCAATAGCGAGAACTTCCTTGTATATATTGTCATTCAGTCTAGTTAGTGTTATTCATCAATGGTTGGGTCAAAAGTGAAGCATATATAGGAGAGCAAATTTGAGGTGAGACCATTCGATTGGTGAACTATCTGAACATAGCAACTTGTACCACAAGATTTCATTAATAAGAATGAGAGGTCTCTTTGTAATTTGATTAAAGTTCCTTACTTAATGAAAATATGATTGATTAAACCCTTTCACAGTCATAGAAATGAAGAAATATTAATTCACCTTCTTGCTTTGATTCTTCTAGACTAGGGGTTCGTTTTTGTGAAGGGTTTGTGAGATGAGGCAAGGAAAGAAACTCTCGCAAATGCTGGAGTTGGCACTAGCATATAGCAAAGCTCCAAAAGTTGTTTGATTCGGGTATAGCATGTAATGATAATTGATTCCAATTCAATCCATGTCGGTCATAATAATTCATCCACACTTTATTCAATTCCAACTATAAGGTGCTTCAATCAAAGTTTGGATAATGTGTTGGTTCATTTTGTGTTAATACTTATTACCAATCTCATATTTAGATGAGAGGCGACAATACCCTACATTCTATCATGGGTAACTCCTGTCAATTTGGATACCAATACCACTCAGTTCTAAATGTTCTATATCGATAAAATATTCATTTTGAACACGATCCAAATCTAGTATTATCAGATCACCAAACTAATTTAATCGAACCCCACCCCTAACACCCGAACTAAACAATACGCTGAAGAGTTCCCAAATTAGGAACTAGATGTATAGAAGAATGCCTGCAACCAGATCAACCAACATCAAGGCCGAATCGCTCCAATGCCAGTACAAAATGTGCCCAGCAAATGGGTATCAGAATGGCCTTTTCTCACATTCCCCAGCTAAATCAACCAGTTTTAGAATCAAGAACTCTATGAAGTGCCAGCAGTACTTCGTTGGCTTGAGCAATTTGATGCGATAGTTGATTTAGCTTCTGCAAAATGACCACCCATATGAAAAAAATAATCAGCGTGGCATTTTCACAAGCACTTGGAAGCAAATACAATTAACCAACATAATCTTTTCCAAACCTCGTCTTGTTGTTTGATTATATGGATCAAATCACCAATGCTCTCTCTGGATACTTGTAATAGACGTCGCCGCCGGAGTCTTAAGTACAACACCGTGAATAGCATGGCCGCGGCCACCAAGACGGGGGAGAGAAAAGACCAACGCACCCCTCTGGTGTTGACAAATTTTCGAATTGTGGAAGTAATGTCAGTAATATGACAACGTAGGAGCTGGAGCCCCAACCTCAACCACCTCGCAACGTCGCCGGCTCGCTTCCGCGGAGGACTTGGCACCAGCAATGGCGGGTCATCTCGATCGAGATCGAACGGCGAGGATGAATATGATGATGAATTACAACTATTTTTCTGATCAAAAGGGTATGATGAGGATGTGGATTTAGTATTGGGTATTGGGTGAGAGGAATGTTTGGAGATGTGAAGATTTTCGTGGTCAATTGGAGGGAAGATTAGAGAGGTTTGGTCATGGTTGTGGGCAGAGTCTCTGATGGCCATCATTGACGACCATCCGTTTGGCAGGTCGTATTGAGTATGACTATGGCGATGAGGGTAGTTGATTCGCTGCCATTTTAGTAAAACTTGAATGGGTGTTTCAGTTTCTTCTTCTTCTCCTCCTGAATCAGCCATTTGTAATGTTGCAGACTGTGTGGTACAGTATCTGAAACAGTTGCACTGTTTAGACTCAGAATCAGAATCAGGCGAAGATCTGTTGTTTGGGGAGACGATGACGACGTCCGAAACTCACGATTTTAAGGTTTTACATTAAAGCCCATAGTCAGTAAGCCAACTTCTTATCTCATATGGATCTGTTTGTGAATCGGGTTTCATTTGTATGGCCGGCCCATTCCCTAATTGACGCAGGCATTGTTGGGCTGAAATGGCACAAAGTCGAGCCTGAGCATCGGACTGTTTGGAGTTGATTTGTGCACTCACAACAGTATTGAAGTTAGTTTGATCGTAACGTGACGAGTAATTTAGATAAAGGAATCGAATTAAAACTGTGATAAATGAGTTTCAAATAAACCTTGCTCATTAGCAAGCAGGAGCGAAAACGAGTTTTCTTACCCAATAGCTCGGGGTATGATTCTGTCGGATTCGATTCCCAAGTGCTCCAACTTTTGAGAAGAGGGTTATGGGGTGCTCTCTTAATCCTTTGAGTTCCCTTGTTGTCAAAGGGTGGTGCTTGACCTGTATCGACTATATTGATCCTTATTTATTTTAGTAAAATTTAAACTCAACTTGGCTTATCATGTTTGGTCAAACAAACCGAACTCGAATTTGTATTTAAGCTAAAACTCGAATTCATACCAGTGCTAAAATTAGTTCATAGTAAACTATTTGAACTACCCTTATCAAACTACTAGTAAAAGAAAGAAATCAAACTACTTACTAGCGGCAAGAGACTTTATTACTTCTTCATATCAATTCTGCACATTTATACATATATAACTCATACATTATGTACATACTTGTTTACGAGACTAACGAACTTAAAAAATCATTATTTGAACTCTTCAATAAATGGACGACATTAAACAAGTTTATGTTGAACATTTATCACGAGTTATTCATAAACACCTCCATTAATTTACAACTACATTTGGTAATACTACATTTCATTGCTTATATCACTTGAGGAGGTGGAAAAAAAAAATTCCCAATCAACAAGGCCGTAAAGGAGTCAAACGAGTGGTGTTACTGGTTGTTTAAAAGATATATAGAAATCAATCAAGAGTTAAAAAAGATTTAGAGGATAGTCAAGGAAGGTGACAATCTTGTTGGTCAAAAATATAATTGGTCGAAGGTTTTGTTACCAGCATGCTTTCTTTGTTTGGTAGCCCTGATCTAGATCATATCATTTCAAGCTCTCTCTATCTCTCTCTCTCAAACGAATTAGTAGTTTACAAAGATCAAAGTCAACTTATCCAATTAGCAGCATCCATTTATATTTTTAGTTAGTAATAACACCTGAAGTATGATCGTGTATGTGTTGATGCAGGGAAACGTGTGAAATGAAATCCAAATTAAATAACAAAAATTACTTGATTATTGTTGATCATGCAAGAAGTCTTGTTGATTTTTAGGATGTCTCTAAGCTCCTGAATTGTCTTTACAAATCAATATACTAGAGAATTCTAGTAATGTGAAGTTTTCAGGAAAAAAAAAACATGCAAAAAATACGAAATTATGTCTCGTACGTTTGAGTTACTTTGCCTTGAGATTAGTAAAATAGTTGATCATTGAATTCTTTTCGGAGACACTAAAACGAGGCCAAAGTCACAGAAAAGATGCGGGCTAAGATGCATATTTTTAAAAGAGAGGATTATAACGACTCATAAAAGTAAATTTGCACATGGTGTTTGAAGGGAATAGTGGATCAAAATCAAGAGAGAGCTAGAGAGCTAAATCTGGTGTGGTTCATGTATGAGGAAAAATTTGTTGGGATATCATATGTGAGAATTCCATATCGAATAAAAAATAAAATGAAAGAGTTCTAATATGCTGTGAATAGATTTATTAGTGGCCTAATAGGAAATATTAACATCTAAACTTTGAGTGACAATATTTTATTCTTATAAATAGGGTTAAGTATAATATAATAAGTTATTAAATTGCCAGATAATAAAATATCAATGTAATTTTTTGGTTCGTTGATATAGGTATAATGTATCATCTATATAATAAAACAAGAGTGTGTTTGAATTTTATCTCAGTCATATTTTTCCCTCTTAAAACTATCATCAATCACTTACCTCACCCATCATCCATTTGTCAAACTCAAACGTCAAATCGCATCACTCATTTCTATCACATATTTAATTATTTATATATTTGATTAATTTGTAGTTAATATATTTTGAAAAAATTTAATATAGTGGGATCGATTTTTTGGACGTTTGCATTTTATATTTTATCGTACCTTCAAACACGAATTATGACTAGTGTATTTATATTATGTCTTTGTATTTTTGTTTTATTATTTTTTCGACAATTGGTATCAGTTCTATTAATCGTTGCACAGAACCAACAAAAAAGGGGGTTGAAAGCAAAAGGTTCAATCTTCCCCAAATCGTTGGGGGCTTTACGAAATTGGGTCACGAGCCTTTTGTCTCAGAAATCAATCCCGATTGGCGCCTTGGTCATCATCGCTTCCGACTTAGTCCTTCGCTGTACGTATTGCATCACATGCTTTATTAACTAGATTTATCAATTCTGATTGCTCTATGTCAAATTGGATTTGTTTATGAAGAGGATCTTGTTGACAAGAATATTAGAACCTTGCTATTGTATGAATATTGATGGCATTGGTTGACCCATCATCCTATTATTATTATTATGTACAAAATGAAAGTAAACAAACAGGTATAGACCACCCCCAGATATGGACACCACAGACCGCACAGACTAGATGGCTTTTGACAGTTTGCAAACTTGGGGTAATGGACAAGGACATGCCCAGATATGGACACCGCACAGACTTAGTAAGTGTCAATTTTGGATGCTACTGTTTGACAAATACTCTGCGTAAGCCAAATCGTATGGTTATTATTGTCCACAAGAAGAGCCAAATGGATAGAGAATAGTAAGCATTTGCTGTTTTGCCCACAAGAGTTTAGGATGTGTTAAGTTACATAAAGCTTAAAAAAACGTGGATATAATCCATGGAACGTGGCCACCATATGCTCAGCAAAAATCAGTCACTCCATGCCAAAAGCCAGTTCTCTCCCTACCCCCCGTTAGGAGAAAGTATTGGGTGCTTATAAGCCTTCAGCTGACCGTGTTATTTTTATTTTTTATTTTTTTTGTTATAGGGTATTCAAATTTACGCTGACTATTTCCTCGAGTTTAGCGGTGGTCACCGTGGCATGAACTACGATAGAGCATGTTCTTGAAAAACAACTGAACTAGGGTTATTAGCCCTTAGCGCGTGTGGAAGGGAATTGAACTTGAGACTTTTGAGTTATCAAATGTTAGACTCAACCGTTGAACCAACCTAAGGGTTAGGTGACAGTGTTATTTGGTACCTACATCCAATGAAAATTTATCACACAACTAGTTCGTGAGACGCACAAATTAGCTCTTTCGAAAAATATTGTCGGATTTAGTAAGATTTTCTCTATTTGACAAGGTGACAGGGGACATTCATTCATTAAACATGTATATTTTTTTTATTGGTAATGTGCATCATATTGCACTGCCCGATGAACATTCAATATTTTCTCCCACAGTTTTTTTCTTAGGCGTCTTGTCGTATTTGTCATGTCATTTAGAATATGAATAAAATTTTAATTAGTCTTAAAATATTTGACATAACTTGGTTATTTGTATTTGGTTTAATCGACATACCTGTAAAACGAAATTTAACACTAAATTTCACTTCTCTTTCCACCAAACCAAACATTTATATCCTTTCAATATGCTAGAAATCAATTAAATTCATATATGCTTGCAAAAACAATCAAAAATCATCTGTTTTACAAGAATTCACCCATACAATACTGGATTGAAATTTTTTTTATTCCTACCATACTAACGAAAAAAATATTTTACCTATACCCGATTTATTTATTAATTCATATTTAACAAATTATGTCATATTAGGTTCACGTCATATGGTATATAAATGAGTCGTATCATATATTTCTTTTGATTGACTTCACTTGTACTCGATTCATTTATTAATCGTGTCGTATTAAGTTCATTCGTTTACTAAACACGTGGTTTAAAAAAAACTCAAACTTTCAAATTTTGTATCGTATTAACGGACGGTGTCCGACACTCTAATAAAAAGTGTGTTTTATTCCTTTGATTTTTTTGCATTATACTACACGGTTACAGCATGTTAGCGTGATTCTTTTCTTCAAAAATTATGTTTTCAAATTAGAATAATAATTTCTAATTTGGTAGTATCTATGGAGACGGATATATCAGAGACTGCAGCTTCTTCGCAAAAACACTGTAAACAAAAAAAGAGGAAGAATGGTCACTGAGAGTGAGAGCTGTCCAAGAACGTAAAAAGACGTCCCAGTAAAGTTAACATGACTTTTTAGAGAGAGAAAAGAAGGGTAGAATATATTATCAGAGAGAGAGAGAGAACACGTAAACAAATATAGTCCGTATATGCAATAGAGGATACAGGGAAGAACACGATACGCTTCACCGTCCCTCCATACACTTCTTTTAGCGACGTCTATTCTTCTATTCTTTGCTTCAATACTGTTATTTTCCAGTGATTTCTTTCTGGGTCTTCTCAGTCAATTCTCTGCAATCACTCGCTCTATCTTGAAAATGTCAAGCGGAGAAGCTTCGTCTTCTGGATTGAGTTTGGAAGGGCTCGACGATGTTGAAGAATTTCCCTGGGTCAGTTTTGTTTTCAATTTATTATGAGTTATTTTTGCTTTTTTTACTGTTTGGTCTCTGGGAAAATGCAGGAAAATAAAATTTAAATTTCGGAGGAATTTGAGTGAATGTGGTTTTGAAATTTTTGAATTGAGAGCTGAATAGCTAGTGGGTTTTGAAATGCATGCAGGTGAATGACGGAGAAGGGTCGTCGATGTCGTGGGAACGATTTAGTGATGTTTATGATCTCATGCAGATGGGGAACAAAGCTTTCCGAGCGAATCGATTCGATGAGGTAAAACCCTTCTTAACGCAGTTACTCTTGTGACAGTACTACTTGCTTCGCACTTGTGTTGTCTTGTTATAATTTGCTTCATAATATTTTCTCATGTTGGTATTTGACTATATGAAGAAAACAACTTTCTGGTAATCAAGAACATACGATACTTAGTCAAGAAAATTGCTGTTTAGAATGAGCATTCATTCAATGAACTTGTTCTTTTATTTAGTTTTTAGCCTAATAAGGTTAAACTAGGAAGTGCTGTGGTCATGTATATTAAGAGGGAATCAAGTATTATATGTTGCAATGCCGACTAATTAAGGTGTAGGACAGGGTTTAATTTGATGCATTTTATCATATTTGGTTAGGAATCAAGCCAGTTTGTATACGAACTTAGAGTTCATAGGATTTGTCCAATTAATCCCTTTAGGAAATTCACTCCATAGCATTCCATAATGCTTTTTGATGATTACCATTCCAACCAGTGATTGTATTCTCTGTGTGAATCTAGTGCTCACATCTCAAAACTGCTGCCCTTTTCATCCATTTTTGTTTTGGCCATAATATGATATCGGCTGATTTCATATTAATCAATATGCCAAAAATTCCTTTGAGCTGGTAGAAAGAATGTGGACATTTAACCTGTTTCAGATGATTTGAATCATAAAAATAGGACAATTAGTCAGGTATGAATATCCATATAAGTTCCAAATTATAAGTGATGCAATGGAGGCAGACAGATCAATATTGAATGTTTTGGAATGCTGAATAATTTGTTTTCCAACTCCGTGGATGGTTGTGAGTTGGGATTAATGATATGTTGATGACATTTATCAGCATTGTTCTCTTTATTTCTGTATTTTTTGCAAGGCTGTTTCTGTTTTGTGGGGATTTCATTTCTTACTTCACTTTCAAATTTAGAAGCCAAAGCCATGCAATGAAGGAATCTTAGGATGTTTTTGGTAACATTTTTGTTTTTATGGTTTTTTTTTTATCAAAAAACTAGTCTTTGTTTTTTGTGATAAAAATTAAAAAATATATAATATTTTTGTAGTCATTTATATTTAAAAAATTATGAGAACAAAAATAAAAAATATGTTTGGTAATTTACCCAAAACACCACCAATAACTGCCCAATCCCACCAAAAACCCACCCCCAAACCCCTTCAATCCACCACCCACACCCCTAAAAATCCACCCCTACCAACAACCACCCAACACCCTCGAAAACCCATCACTCACCACCCCCAAACAACTGTAAACCCTCCCCCAACACCTCCAGAAACCCACCCCCCAACACCCTAAAACCTACCACCCAACACTCCCAAAAATCAATCCCCAAACCCCCTAAAAAGCCACCACCCAACCTCACCAAAACCCATTGTTAACAACCACCCAAAACCCATCACTCCCAAACCCTCTGAAACCCACCCCAACACCCTCGATATGCTCCCCAAATCTCTTGAATTCCACCACCAACGCCCCCAATACGCCCCCCAAACCCCCTGAAACCCACCACTCAATACCCCCGAAAACCAACCCCTAAACCCCCTAAAAATCTACCACCAAAACCCACTTCTAATAACCAGCCAAAATCTACCACCCAACCCACCAAAACTCACCACCAACAACCACCAAAAACCTTCCTCTTGCTAAAGAACACACCAATGAGAATACGAGAGGCTGGAGAGGCACAGAGACGGGAAATGGAAAGGGAATGGGAAAGGGAAAAGAAAGGAAAGCGATTTTTATATTCAAGTAATAAAAATCATTTATTTGCTGCTAACAAGACTTGAAGATTGTATCTCATGAAAGGTCTTCTAGCGCCTCCCACGTGTTTTTATTTTGAATGTTTTTAAAAATATTATTTTGGATGTTTCCATTTTTTGTCTTTGTTTTCAAAACGTAGCAATAAAAAAAATAGAAACAATCACTAAACGCATTTTTATTTATTTTTTTCTCCAAAAAATGAAAGCAAAAACAAAAAAAATAAAAACACTCGATTACAAACGGGTCCTTAGAGTTCTGAATTATGCGAGACAAGTTGTCCATTACTATATTCAGAGTGGTCTAACTCTAACATCAAATTCACCTTTTTAATATTGTTGAGTTTTGGATATGGTTTTCATTTAGAAAATTTTCAACATCAATTTTTTGGAACCAGCAGCCGACATTTGTTTTAACACAAGTGCTCTTTGACGTGGTCAGGGATGTTTTAATGTGAGGGTCTTATAGGGGGTAGGAGGTGAAGCAGGCAACGGTTATTTCGTGTTTACCCTTTTAAGAGGTAATTACATCACATGAATGCTTGTTGTCTTCTTCAAAATTATGGGCGTTTATATGATAGTGTTCCCTTGAACCTGGTTGTCAAGCTTTGTTGAAGATCAGACATACTTGGCCGGATTTTCTCTCTTCTTTTCCTCGTCATGGTTGTGAACAGTTTACATTTTACTCTGGTTGGACTTTGGATCTTTTGAACTATTTGTGTTGCAAATAATTCAAAATTTTGGAGCATGATAAAGAAAGTATAGATCACTAATTAATGAAGAGTAAGCTTGACAGGAATAAAATATTTGACAATAGCTGTAATGCAGTTAAGGTCTTTTTGAATGCACCAAGCCGTGTGAGTAGCTTACATTTAAACGTCGTCCTTACATTAATTTGTTTATTTTTTTGGTGGTCATGCTTTATTGATATGTATAGACAACATATCATGTTTCTGCTTAATGAACAAAAATTATATGATGTTTTGTTTGTTTTCTTTTTCAAAAAATAACTATTGGACACTTGTAGCACATTCTTGGCAATTTTGATTTGTCATAGGAGTAAAGGTTGTTTGCAGTTTTCTGTTTTTCAATGGGGTAATTATATAATTGCAAATCCATAGACAAAGCTGCGGCTTATTATTGCTGAAGTAAAATTTCACCTCATGCAGCTATTTCTTCATCTGATTGGGTCACTATTTTCACAAGGCAGGCTGTCAGTTTGAGTTATGATGTTCTGTGATTTTTTGCACAACTCAAATAGGAGAATTTGTACAAGTTTTAGTACCAGCTTCCCTCGTCCTATAATTTGCTACCTATAGCCCAAAATGAAGCAATGCTCTGATGAGGATAATTTTCTCGGTGCATAATTGCTTTTATTTGACCATGAGACATCGGCATACATGATAACATGACAAATTTCTTAGATACTTAAACTTTTGTGTTTTGTGTTATGTTGTTTCTTGTTTCAATTGCTGAAAGGTTGTGTTTTTCTTCTTAAGGCAATCAACTGCTACTCGAGGGCTCATAATATTAAACGAGGCGATCCTATCATTCTCAGCAATCGATGTGCTACTTATCTCAGGTGCAATTTATTTCTTGGTATATGTTTCTAAATTGTTGATACGTGTTTCACCATTGTTAACCATTCATGCACAAAACCCACCAAAACTAATCTGAATTTTCTTGACTTGACGTTTTTAGATTTAGCTATTGATCAATTTCTGCATTGACAGTTATGTTTTAAATTCTGTCCAGGAGTAGTCAGTTTCTGAAACAGAGACCTCCATCAGCTTCTGAATATAGACCGTTGAGTGGCCTTGATCCAACAATACATGCTGGAGTATGTCTATTTTCTCATTTTGTATGGTTAAAGAATCCTTTATTTTGTTCCAGATATTATTAAGACATTTATATCTCCCATTTCAGCTTGCTTTAAAGGATGCTGAGAAGGTCATGAGCATTCGAATTAATTCAATAACTTCCTACATTTTGAAGGCTCATGCTCTCATCTTGGTGAGATCTCTTATTGAAGTTCTTGATAGCCACAATTATAATCGGTGACCTGCTAATTGACTTTCATGTGTTTTTATACTTGGTTACTATTAGTTTTCTTAGGCCAATATGTTTGGCCTTAGTTTCTCATAATATTCATGGAAAAGAGAGCTGGACTAAAATGGAAGTTGTGCTGCTTTATGTTTAATCGATAAATTGTAAAGGGATAGAATCACTTAAGATTGCTTGTATCATTCATAGATAGGCTGGCTGTTAAAGATGAGGAAATTTGGTGTTACCGAAGTGAATATGTGGTTGTATTTCCTCCTACTCCATACTTGGATAGGTGCCAAAAATAGGTGTATTGGTTGGGGATGGTTCTCGAGTCTTTAGGGTTTGGACTACTATATGGTAGAGTTTGTTTGTTCTCATTTCTGAGCAGTATGAAGTATCATGAGATGCAATGCTCTCTGAGATTATGTAAGCGGGAACTTTCTGGGATATATATTAACGACGGATAGAAATCTATAGAAAATTCTTGGATGCTATACTTTGGGGATCCTGATAAAAATTGCTTCCACGGTTGGTCTTAATTATTTGAGGACCATGTTGCCGTCAGGATCCTCAGGAGATTTATGGAAAAGGAAAATGGATTTACTTATATTTTCCATGTATGTATTTTCTTAGTTGCAATCATAATGTATGATAAAGAACATAGTGATTGAAGCAGAACCAAGTTGGAGTGATTTTTTTTTTTCGGCAACTAACTGTATTCTTAAGTCATTGTATGCTAAGAAGTGTAAATGGCGGAGATGCTAAGAAGTTTTCGCTTAGTGTTGGTCCGTGATAATCAAGGATGCTATGAGTGTTGATCTCCGGCTTTATTCACAGGGATAGCTGTTGCTTCCTTTTTGAAGTACAATAATATAAAGAGTTCCCATAAATCTATTTTGTTGGTCCTAATCTACTTGAGCTTTCTTGGTTAAATGTTGTTCAATTTAATATAAAAAGTTCAATATATGAGACATTTCTTTGGCGTAGAACTTGATGTATTGTATTAAATTATTCTTTCTTTGTGGAAATGTCATTCTACAGTCTAGATCTAAACATGTAATGTGTCAATTACTTTGTTTGTGAGCCTGGAAAGGGTATTTGGTGTATAATCATGTCATCAGAGACTTAATCAGTTAGCTCGTTGTGGATTGATCTATAAAATGAATTAGAGTGCAGAAAATCTGGATTATGTTCTTGCTATTTAGTCACGACCTTCAAGTTATTTTGAAGATCTATGTTATTGGGATCTTCATCTTTCATTGCACAAAAGAAGTCTTAGATTCAGGTTTTCTCAGCTATAAATTGATTCATAGATGGCAAGGTCTACAATTTGTCATTATAGCTTTGTTAGGCAGTTGTGACTCAATTTTGCTTTCTGACCACTTGAAATGTGGACAGAACCTTTCTTAATCTGTGGTTCCTTGCATTTGTTATTCCCTTCATGCTTTATTCAATCTGAGTGGTAAGTGCTTTCTTGGGAATGTTGAGTGGGTGAGTGGCAAGTTTAGAAGTATGGAATTAGAGAGGCTTATGATAAAGGGAGCTTCTGTTGGCAAGATGAGGGATGTAACCAGATGTCATTGTGATGGGTTGATAAATTTGCAGTGAAGCCCAATAAATGCATTTAATTGACCGGCTAGCACTAGTGGATCAAGTAGAAGACCAAACGAATGTTGGTTGAATCTCTGAAAAAAGATATTATGACCTAACCCAGCTTTTGGATAGCCGATAAAGAAAAAGGAATTCCTGTAGCCAAACACAGATAACATTGAGTTTTCATGGGAATGGCTGTTTGAGGTATTATTGCCTCAATGATTTATTCTCATCATAGCTCTCATACATATTTCCGTGATTCCCTCTGCGATATCACAGTTTGGCCAAATCTAAACACTTGTGCATACTTCTTTGGAGGTGTGCAGTTTAATGACTCCCTTATTTTAGTAGTAATTTATCAGGCATACAGCTATAGAAGGTACACAATCACACTGGAATTGGTTCTTGCTGATATTTGTACTAGTTTTCTTTCATTTTTTGGTGCTTTTGTATTGATAAAGGAATCGAAAAGTTTTTTTTCCCTCCTTTTTTCTATTTCTAGACATAATTGCTGGGTGTATGTTACATGTGATATACTGACTCCCTAACATCAATTGGCAGTTGGAAAGATATGAGTTGGCCCATGATGTTATTCTATCAGGTCTTCAGGTCGATCCTTTGAGGTATATAATCTAATGTTATTGGTTTCCTCCATATATGGATTATGTCGCTTGTTTACTACCCGTTGGCTATGCAGTATTCCATAAATGAATTAATTTATCATGTTTCTCTCGAAATGTAGCAATTCTCTGCAAAATTTGGAGAGAAGAACAACCAGTACAATTGGGAGGATAACCCATCGGAGGCCACAGCGTACTGATGACTTTGATTGCACTCTTTGCTTGAAGTTGCTTTATGAACCCATTACAACTCCTTGTGGTCATTCTTTTTGCCGCCCATGCCTCTTTCAATCAGTGGATCTACGTGAGTGTTTTACAACTCCTTGTACTGTTTTTTGCAACTACATGAGCTCTGCTTACTCTTCCTTTTCAAGTACATTATGTTAATCTGTTCCTTATATCTCCAACCCTGGATGGAAATGGCTAGGTAACAGGTGTCCATTGTGCCGAACAGTTTTGTTTCTCAGTCCCACAACATCTGCAATCAGGTGAGTTGTTTTTGTGGTAATAGCTTGTCTTAGCAGTGCAATTCAGGCCACAGCTTTCTTTCCTTGCTAGAGTTTTGCATTCTCTGCCTATATGTTGGTTCAGGTGTCGCCTTCACCCATGTGATCCATGTGCAATCACAATTTTGGCTTGTACACCATTGTTATCCATGTCAATTGTTGACCACAAAATGTGAATAGAAGTTGACATGTGACTACTCAATTAGGTCAGTTTGTACCATTTGAATATCTTTCGGGAGGCCACTGGGAGGATATGAACCTATGCAGCCAACCCACCTAGTTGGGATTTTGGCTTGTGGGTTTGCTTTAATTTAAGTTTAATTGTTAGTATCGTATGATAAGTCACGATAGAGAGGTCAAACGATACGAATCGGAGTTTTGTATCGTTTTTGCATAGTATCGTCCGATACACAATACGTTTTTTCAATACGATACGCGCGAAGTCTTTGTTTTTTTTTTTTTTATTAGAATGCAATGTAAATCAGCAAAAACAGAGATGAAGAGAAGAATTATCAATCCACCAAACCCACAAATCAGCAAAAATACCCAAACAAAAGCAATACAAACAAATTTTTGAAATTAGAAAAAATAGCAACACTAACCTGTAAATTTCGGATGAAATCCTAAGTTGGTTTTTTTTCAGATTTTAGAAAACACTTCTTCTTCTTTCTCGTAGAGGTCCATTGCAAGAAACCCTAGAAAACTGGAAACCCTAGAAAACTGGAAACCCATCGAAGAAGTAGATCATCCAAGACCATTGAAGCAGAGAGACACTCTGTCTCACGATCTTTCTCTCTGTCTCTCGATCGCTCTCGCGATCTCTCTCTTTCTCTCGTCTTTTTTTTTTGTTCTAATCAGGCACCCTGGTCATTATGTTTTAAAATAAGGAGAATTATATTTAGACCCCTTGAGATTTATTACTTAATCACTTAGTGATTTAAATCGGGAAGGTCTAGAATTCATAGAATAGAAAGAGAAGAAGAAAGAAGAAGGGGTGAAAGGGGTTTACCTCGTCCTCGCAAGGAATCGGTGAAGAAATACACAAATCTCCGCAGAGAATGCTCAATTCCTATTCATAATTTCTCTTTAATTAAAAATAGTTGCGATTACACCATTATTTATAGGCCAAGTTCCCTACTAAAATAAAAACTACTTTCCTACTAAAATACTAAAGGAGTTTCATAATCAAACTCAAATCCCTATCCTACTAAAACTCAATAACAATTTGTAGTTAAACTCTAATTAATACTTCTAGTCAAACAAATATTTTCAAACTAATAAAATAATATTAAAACAAATAATAAATTCAATTCTTCAATTTAAGCTCATCTAATCCCTTTTCGATCTCTATCAATTCTCTTCGGTTGAAAAAAACTCTTCTCCGAAGAGTTGCTGTAGCAAGAATACTCCAAAAGAATTGACATCAAACGGTGAAATACATCTTCAAACCTGATCGCATAGATAAGATTTTCCTTCAATGACATAATATAGGATATCACAATGGGAGAATTCATAACCTTCACACTTTGTTCCAAATAGAAGGACGGTGAGGATGTTGATGAAAAATTAGCAACCCCATCTAAAAAAATACGTTTGAAACTTGCTTTTCATTTGTAGGAACACTCTTTGTAATCGGCTTGTCAAAAACAATTGTTGTAGGATGAATAGAAGTAGAACTTTCGGGCTCCTCAACATTGAATAACTTCG